TTTTTTTTTTTTTTTTTTTTTTTTTTTTTAAGGGTATGAGTTTGTAGTAAGCCAGCTCTGCAGAACGCTAATTATCCTTTACCTGCAGCTTATGTCTCAAGTACACATAACCTTTTGCTGTTGTAATAATGAAAAGCTAATAAAGAGTGGGCAAGGTTTGGTACATAGAGTTACTAAAAGTTTTTTAAAGCTACAGTAGAATCATTTTTAAAAAGTACGTAGTTGGTTTGGTGGCTTAAGCCAAGATGTCAGGAGGTTTTTTCCTGTGGGGGCAAAACTAAGTCGCTTAAACTCTTTGTGCATCGTTGTCCTCATTGCTACAGGGGCATTATGCCTGAGTGTATTCAGAGGTGGAAGATGCTACAGAAAGACAACGTGTTACCTGCTTTCATTTTGGCTTTTTCTGAGCAGCTTGACAAAAATTACCTTTCGGTACTCTGTAACAGCTACTACATGGTTTTGTATGAAAACTAACTCAACAGGAGTTCTTGCTCTGTTGATGATGGTATTTGATAACTTCAGGCAGAGGAACAGGAACCTCTTACAAATGTACCCCTAACAAAAGGGGAATATTATATAAACAGAGCAAAAGTGAATGCATTCCATGAGGTGGCAGCAGCTTCCATCATACGTACACAGAAGGGAAAAGTGCCTGAGATAGTAAGAACTGATGACTTCCTTTGATCCTTATATTGAAAAATACTGTTGCGTCTTGGTAAAATAAGGCCTTAAAACATAGCATAGTTGTTTGGACAGGTGATTTTCATAAAGTATTACTGTATGAACTCTACCTAATGAGGTTCTAGACATATATAACCTAGTTGTAAGCTTTGTGTTGCTATTTTTAAAGGCATTTGTACTCTTTAAAGGCAAACTACTTCTAATGGTTTTACCTCAAATAAGAAGAGTGCTTTTTACTTATTAAAGGTAGAAAATAAAGTGGTCTTACCTAGTGGTGGTGTATATCTATTTTATCCAAAGGAACTGTCTTGAATGTTAAGTGTACAGATGTATCGTCTTTACTCTGTCCTGCCTAGTGTACAACCTACACTTTGGAAAATATAAAACTTCATTAGTCTGAGGCACACCTGGGACTCAAGATTAACTTCAACTGAATGCTAAATATAAAACATGAATGTGAGTACTGTTACAGCACTGCTATAAAATCTGTTTTGCTGTTGCAGACTTACAGCCTTCAGTAGAGAGCAGTCTTCTCATCAAAGGGTCTCATGTGCTTTAAGCTATTACTGAGGGAAGAATGAAACACTGCTTTATATACCTGGCTTCTGGGTACAGGTTAGAACAAAAACGAAAGCCTGTTTTCAAACGCAACACAGCCCATCCATGGCCACCGTAGTTTTGGGAATATTAAAACTTCTCTGATAATCTCCAAAGAATCTTCATGCTCATGGAGGGGCTCCTCTGTATAGAAGAGGAGTGGTAAAAGAACTCAACGCAGTACCCAATAGCAGTACCCAGAATAAATATTACAGAACATGATATCTGGGATTTGTGACAGGCACTGCTCTTTGGTCAAATCCTGTGACTGAAAGTAAACAGCTTTGAGGGAATACTCCCCAGGTAAAAAATAAACTCTAAATTGCATGTATGAATCTTTTGTGAACTGAAGGGAAAAATTCTGATGCTGTGGACCTGGCAAAAGAATTATAAAGCTCTGTTTTGTTGTACATGACTGTTTTATACCATCCTGGTGTGCGTGATATCCAGTCAATAGGGCACAGGACTGGATGTGGGACCTTGAGTTCTTGCTTCTCTTCAGTTTAAAGTGAGACGCTTAACTTCTGTGCCTCAATTTCCAGTCTTGCTAACATGGAGTTTATATACTGTGAACTGCTTTGAGGAATTTATCTAAATGTAGTATGTCTGCTGTAAAAGAAGGTAACAAGAGGAAGAAGACTTTTGAAGAAGCTGAATTATGGGTACAATATATTTGGAAAACTGGCAGAAAGCGGAGACAAAATTTAATGTTGAATGTGGATAACATTATGGGAGAGGTAAAATATTCTCAAAGCCAAAATTTGCTAGAGGAACGGTTGAGATTTTTTTTTTCTTTAGTTTGGACAGTTGCTTCAGAAAAGGCAGATTCTCTCTCTATATGCAGCACTTCGAGAAATGTAGATAGAAATTCTGTTTGTCCATTATTGTTTGCTCATTGCAGCTTGATCCTCTTTCCAACAATCACAAGCTGAAATGACTAAGCATTTAGAAACAAACCAGGCAGTTCATACTCTGTTAATATGAAATCAGTTAACATGCAGAAAAAGCAGTGGTAGGGCCTTACCTCCAGCCTCCATAGTGTGAAAAGACTGAAATTGGGAGGTTACTTGTGCCTGTATAATGTAAACCCAGCTGCTAGAATACCAGAAAAGAATCTAACTAGAATCTCATCACCAGCCAGCCTGATTCACTCTCAGCTGCTCTGTAAAGTTCATAAACCTCTACAGACTTGACTCTATCCTCTGTTTAGTTATCTTAACTAGTTGTTACTTTTAAGGTCTTTCAATTATAAATGAATATAGGCTTCAGTAATGAAGGATCTCAGTAAATGTTACACAAGCAGTCACAAAAACAAAGTTGGATTACAAAGTGCATGCACTATACCTGGAGACTTTAGATAGGAGCAGGGAAAAACCTTATAGAACAAAGGGAATTTATATTTGAACTCTTATTTACCTGGTCTTCCAGTATCCTGTGTACTATGAATTCAGTTCTTAACCTGCTTATTCATACGTTTTGGTACACTGAATATGTCAGCTTGACACTACTTTTTCATTGCTCTAGTCCATTTCAGTTTTATAAAATGTCCAAGACTGCTCTCAGAAGGGAGGATGTGATCATGTTGCCTGGAAAAATTTAGAAGTGTAATAATAATTGATTAAATTCTAGTAATTTTTTCTCCTATTTTTTAAACTACACGTCATCACACTGCTGTAAAACAGTAAGTAGAAATCTCTCCTCAGATAGATGTGATAGGAGATGAAAACAACATCATTTTTACAAATTTCTTGGTTATAGAAATGAATTATTTAAAAAAGGGCTGTTGACTTGCTCTACAAAACTATGCCAGAAATGTAAGTGCAAACATTTCAGCAAAAGTAAATCATTCTTGCAGAATACAAGTTCCTTCTCTACTTTTCACTTCTGTGCCCTGGATGCCAGCTCCTGAAGCAGCTATTTAAGGCAACAGCTGGGAGTGGGGCACTCAGATGCAAGGACTTCACAGGCATAACTGAAACAGCTGGAGAGATGCTATCACTGCTTTGCCCCAGCTACAGGTAGAGGTACCTGGCAGAGCTACAACTGCCATTTCTGTTCTTTATTTAGGTCTCTTAAATAATATAGAGAGGAGGGAGGTAAGACAAGGTTATTTAAAAAATAAACTATTTTGCATGGGTTTTTGGCCCGCAGTTAACTCTGCATACTCATCCAAATGTCTTTGATGTACAGCTGGCTTATTCCATTCCATTTCCAAACAAAAGGCATGATCACCCACAGTTCTCACTAGCCAGGTACTCTAAAAACGGGCAGCCTGAACCTATTGTAGGAGCTAGCAAACCCCTCTTAAGGCAGCTATTTTAAAGAGACTCACTAATGTGTCTAACCATTGCTCTCCTTGTTCTCCATCCGTATAAAACTTTGCAGAAGCAGGGTCTCCACTGTTACACAAGCTATGCAGCTGCTCACCCCTTCCTCAAATTTTGGCCAGCACTCCAAAAATGAACTTTAAGGATCAGATGCTAACAGCAGTACACACCTTCTGCAGATTGCACATATATCTTACTGCTTGTCAGGGCAAGGTCTATCCTTTTATACTGTGTCTGTACAAGGGCTAACAAATTGTAACACCAAGGAATGTGTCCTACATACAATCATCAAATTACAAAATGTTTCTGTAACACCCATCTGTTGATCAACTACCTGAATATTATCTTCCATAGTTTAATACATTAATATTTAAAACACATAAAATAAATACATTTTATTAACTTTCATAATTGAGACACAACAGCTTATTCTTCAGCAGTATCAATATACAGATTTAACCAGAAAAACATCTACAAATTTAAATTTAAAAGCAAATTCTTAGAAATTTCTTTCAAGATATTCTCAAAAATGGAATTTAAACAAATGCTGACCCATGGTATGAAATTTAAGTTATTTATACCAAATGGTCCAAAATACAGAATTAGAGAGGCTCAGCTAATGTGCGTGTGGGGGAAAAGGTAGAGAAACAGGTGATCTGAAAATAAGCAGGAGTAGGTTCTAAACGGTGCAATCTATGATATAAAAAGGGCAAAGCTGGAATGTATGTGCTAATAAAGTTAATTTATATCTTAATATGATGAAGTAAAACAGGTTGGCATTTGTCATTTTAAAGTGCACATATAACATACTATTCATTGTATTAGTGTTGTATCTATTCCAAATTAAGAATTTGATGTTCAGGACTTGCTTTTTCAGTTGAGTGAAGGCAGGTGGTGCAACAAGCAATTGCAGGACAAGTATATTTACTTGATGTTAAATAATACGATGGCATTGTGCAAGATCATTGGAAAATTACACTTAATAGTTCCAGTCCCCTCACCAAAGTCACTTCTATGTAAGTGTAACACTGATGTGGATGAGCATGTACACATATACCTTTCTAAACAAGGAGAGAGGGAAGTCCTTTTCTGGTCTGTAAATATTGCATAGAGGAAAACATGTTGTGATATGCCATGACAGTAAACAGAAATATTTACACATGAAATCATTTCTATAGCTGGTAACCATTACAACTGTATAAAACACTAGAAAGCAAAGTCTAAATAGCAACCAGAGACATAACTTTTCCAAAGTACATAGACAATATTCTGATTAAGAAATTATTTTCAGGTAAGTGTTATTCTTAACAGTACTTTGTCTGAATAGCAACCGTTTGTCATTGATGATCCTGAAAAGGCACTCAACATATGGGCATGTTTTTAACGAGAATAATCTTTATGGTAAAAACCTGCACAGAAATCATCACAGAACTATGTGGTGGAAAGCACGATTAACATGAACAATAACTGCAAGTGTTTATTAATATTTATTAGAGCAGAAGTTACAACATGGATGATATGCTATGTATGAAAGCAGCAATATCATATTACTTTAGTATCCTGACATGTAATAAATATTTTTTCCAAAATGAGAACTTAAATAGTCAGTATATTTTCTAAATTAAGTTCCATCTCCCAAGGGGACTTTGTCCAGGAGCAGCTGTGGCTGTCTTCTAAATAGAGACAACTGAACAAACAACAGATATTAATTCAAGCTTCTAGTCTGCAGTTTCACATTTATAACTCCATGCTGAAAAAAAATTATGAAATGTAGCAATGTTAGAAGTCCTTCCTATGAATTACCTGTCAGCTACCTCAAACTAAGCAGTCCTGTTCCTACTTGCTCCTTTAAAAGATTCAAACTTCTGCTGCAAACAACTGCCAGCACATATTGAAGGTAACTTCTCCTAATGTTAAGCATCCCCTTTTATTTTCAATATCAGTGCCATTTTCAGAATATCCTTACGCAGCATCTGAGGAACATTTAATCTATTGGGACTGTAATGAGACAGACCAGCCCAAGAGCCTGTTAGTTTTCCAAATAATTTCTGAAATTTTAATTGAAAGCAGAGGAACTGTTCCAGCCCAGGGGCTCAGGCAAGGTTAAAATAGACTAGCCTGCTTGTTTCTCAAATTTGAAAATGAGAAAGATTTCACCCATCTTTTTTTTTTCCAAAAAAAGTGAATATCCCTGCCCTGCCATAGCACCTTTTCTACTCCTACCACTTCAACAATCTGACTGAGGCAGCACTGCACAAGATTTATTACATCTCTACAAGAGCTTTCGTGCACAATCTGTTCAGCTCTTTCATATCTCCCTGACATAGTTAAACTTGGAGGTTTCAAGCTATTAAGCTTCAAACCTCTTAGCAACTGGTCCTCATCCACAATACTTGGCCATGCCTTTAGGTAACTTTTTGGTCCTTTTAAATATTGTTGGAAAACCTAGAAAGATTCTGTTTTTGTGTGGCTCTTTATACCAGCCAGACTGTCCTACCACTTCTGCATGTAGGAAGACTCTAAGCAACACAGGCTATTCTAGACTGCTTACAATTACTAACCCTTACAGTTCAGTTCTTACAGCTATAAAAGAAACTTTCTCCTTCCATGAGTAGCCTTGAGACCAGCTTTCCATTACTTGACAGGCATTCAGCATCCTCTACTGGGTTCTGCTTCACAAACAGTGTCTGCACAAGGATTTGTCTCAATCATCTCCACAGGAAATGGAGGGAATCCTCTTACAGCTGAATTGGAATCCATCTCTTTTCTCAAAATTAATTTCCTCTCCTCTCCTGTAAACATGGAGAAGAAAAAAAAAATTGAAATGAATTTGTCAGGACAGAAAATGCAGAAATGTACTTCAGTTAGGTGGGAGCTACAGTAGGTTGAATCACAATTCAAAAAACAGGGAAAATAGTATCCAGAATATTTTTTTACTGCTGGGAGAACAGACAGCCTCCATACAGAACTTCATTCAGCTCAGACATATCTTCCATCCCTCTTTACGCTGCATGCTGTAGTCTCTTCCACTACGCTTTCTACCACAGTAGTAAGCATGGTGTTTTACTTCTCTTCAGAAGTGCACGTTTTGTTCTCCCACATGGGATGAGCTGCCCATGTTAAAAACTGGAGATAAAATGTACACTGGAGAATTAAAAAGAGATGCTTTGCCATCCAAGTAAATGGCCAATTCGGCTCTTACATCTCTTGGGAAAACTTTTGCTACCAAGAGAGGAGCGTTTCCTGAGCTAAACTGTCAAAACATTGCATGACACCCTCTTCCCTCTAAACTGCTTCCAAAAACTAGGATAGCCCTGGTGATTAAGTTCACCTGTCAGTGATCATAAGCCTCTCCAATTTAAGCATACTCTCTCGGTCCTATTTTATGTATCTCTACTTACCTGCCTTTTGGTGAGATCCCTGAAGGGCAGAGGCATCAGGAGAGACAGCATCTTTTGAGACTGCTGTCACTGTGTGAAGCGTTTTGAGTTTCATTTTGTGGTGTACTATTTTGTTACATTTCCTCTGTGTCTTTTTTAGAGTTGCCAATTGTCTGCAACCATCTGTTTCAGAAAAGCCATATTCATCAGATAAAATGTTAGTGAGAGGCTTTTTTCTTTTTTTTTTCTTTTTGTGAGCATGTCTCTCTTCCTCCCTGGATCGCCTCTCACTTCTTTGCCCTTCATGTCTTAATTTACTACTGGACCTCTTGCATGATTTTTTAAGCTTACGTCCACTCTGCTTTGTCAAGCCATCAGGTACAGAATTTGAACAGAAGCTACATTTTTTGGATTCACTGTCTTCATCATTCTGAGCTGCATTTTTAACACAGACAAGAATTTTTTTCTCTTCCTTTCCCACAAGCGAGCATAATTTGTTACCATCACTGAAAACCTTTTCATATTTTCTCTCCGTTCTCTTTACTAAGCTACTGAAGTATTCAGAATCACTACTAATCTCTTCCAATAATTCATTTAATTTGTATGCTGACCCAGATGGCTTGTACGGCAGAGTAACTTTCCTGCTGTTACTGTCTTGTTTGGATTCTTTATTATGACCGAGGTTGGTACCTCCGAAGGAATTGTTCAGTTCTACACGTGGGAAGTTGCCAGTGTTGAGTGAGTCATTCCACTGTATTTGGAAGTTATTTGTGAACCCTTGAAAACAGGTCTTATGTTTGGACGTTCCCGATGTAGGCTCTGATTTCTCAATGGTGATCTCCCATCTATAATTATCATCCCTGCTGCAAGTTCTCTCATCCAGATTTTGTACAAAACTCTTCTCAGCAAGGTGCTGCCCATACTTGTTCCTCAAGTTGATCTGAAAGCTGTTGCCATTATCTGACACCACCCTTTGCCACCAAGACTTGCTCACAGCAGTTTTTGGCTGTAGGCAGACACGTGCATACCGTGGGGTTTGATAGTAGTTTAATAAATAGTGTATGAATTCATCAGTTTCATAAACCTTTTGCTTTTTGCGGCAGCCTGTATCACATGCTGTTTGTGAGTTCGCTACGTTCAAAGCAGGGGAGTTCTCTCTATCAAGAGACTCTACGAGCTTGCAGTCTTGAGTAATTGTAATCTGTAAAGAGCCACTTTCAGAGGAGCTGTACTTGTCCACTCTAGTTAATTTACCAGAGCTCAGGGTTACAGCAGGATCATTTAAGACAGTCCTCACAATATGACAAGATGATGCAGGTAGCTTAGTCTCCCACTCTCTCTCACTAAATGAAGAGCCATCTGTTTGAAATAACCGATACTTAAACTTTTCCCCATGCTTCTGCTCCCCAAGATAATGGAAGTCTTTCTGCTCCTTCTGTGCAGTTTGTAACTCTGTCTCCGGAAAGTGATTTTTCCTTAAGTCTCCAAGGTCCAGTAAAGGCTCCACTTTTTGGCTGGTCAACTGTGCAAAATCCTTCAAATAAAATGGGAAAAAAATCATGAGAAAGAGAGCATTGGTTCAAAGCAAAGAAACAGAGCTTGAAAAAATTCTTTGAGCTACATCAGAGCAAACTGAGCTAAATTACAAACCAACTTGTCGTTAACCCAATGCTGCCACAGTTAAGACAGTGGTACAGATATAACCAAGGGCACAATTTGACCTAATTCGAAACCCAATCAAACCAAACTCTTCAGCCCTCCTGTTGCCTCACAAAGCTGGGCTCTTAATTTAAAATATTTTTCCATTCAATAAAATGACCTGTCTTGTTGGGATATAAGTGATTTGAAACCACTAAAATATTTTTTTTTACCCAGCTTGATTATAGAATCCCACTAACTTTGGTAATTCTGCTAAGTCTAACTTCTGCATTTTGTAAGTGGAACATTTTATTACGTACAAATAATTAGAGACACTGCTCTAAACTACTTTTTTGTGATAGCTTTTGAAGACTGATGTCACGCTTCACTAAAAGTCAAAAGGCAAGCTAGTGTGAACTCTGGCAGGCACCTTTTTTGGGAAGGAGAGGGAGGGACTCCAATAACATGCAAGAAATATTAAGCATTAGTGTTTTAAAAAAGAAACACTACAAAAAATTTGCCAGTGGCCTGTAGCAAGTCTTCCCCTTGGCAAATGATGGAATATAAGTCTTTGTAGCATTTGAGCTTTCATTTAAAAAAAAAAAAAATGAAAGCTAGCCCATATAACTAAGATCATTATCCAAATATGAAGCAAAGCAGTGAGTCTGTAGGCAGACTTCTGTAATTCCACACTGCTGAACAGATTTTCCAAAACAGCAGTAGAGTGAAACTGACAAAAAACATCAGTTTCGCTGCTTGCCCACAGAAGGCTGAACACTGGAGGTGTAGCTGACATTATCCAGGTTACTCTGCTGCTTGAATAAGCCATGACTGGCAGCAGATGCAGTAACTAGAGTTATTCATAGGAGAAGAGGATGCAAAAGTAGTCGAGACCTCTTTTCCTAGAGTGCTGGCTTGGGATTTAGCACAGTAATTACACATCTTTTTCAGCATGGTAATGAGAACCAGGGGTCTGCTTTTAATTTATCAGACACCTATTGGGCAGAGTCCAATATCAGAGATGAAACCACTGAGCAAAGACAAAGAACAGATTTCTGGTTAGAATCACACCACCATTTTTCTTATAAATAGGTGTGAGAAAAGGCTAAATCAGTGTTTCATGAGCTGAGCTATACTATGACTGTTCAGAGGCAAATGGGAAAGGAGAAGGAAAGGGGAAAGATAAATGAAAAAAAGGAAGAAAAAGAAAAAATGAACAGTTTGACAGTATTTCCTGGACTGCCAGAGAGGTTACAGTGTTTTGATAGTGACAAAGTGCTACCTTATGAATAACACATGCTAGTACTCCCAGAATCCCAAACCATCTTTCTAACCAGCATCTGGCCATCAGGTGTCTGGTAAGTTATTCAAGCTCTAGTAAATGTCCTTTAAACTTAGAATGTTCGTTTAAATAGTCTTACTTTTACTCGGTTTAACAGCACTGTAAGCAGCCTTACAGACTCCACTCTTCTCTGAGCTAGTAGATATTTCCTCTCTTCCCATTCAGGCATATTCTCTGGCCACTGCTCTTCTTCAGCTGTTACCTTCTGCTGCTTTCTTGGGCGTTTTTCATCCCGATCTATCTGTCTCTGTTCTCTCCTCTTGAGCTTAGCCTTCCTTTTTCTTTCTCCAACTTTTTTTTCATCATCACGTCTTTTTCTAGGTAATTATTAATATGGGACAATTTAGATGACACTCATTTTACATTTTAATTCCTGGATGCTGGGAGGTAGGATTGTAGCGTGCTAACAGCAAGTGGCTCAATGCTGAGAACCCAACAGCTGTTAGCACTAAGAAATCCTCTCTCCTAGAGCAGTATGTGTAAAGTCAATGGCAACCAACATACATCCAATAGATCCACAGATTTAGGACTGGTTTTGACTCTCTCTCCTGAAATGTCTTGTGTTCTTAGATTTTTCATAATACGTTGTCTCTCTACAGTACAGACATTGTTAATATTTTAGTTTCTTCCATATCACAAAGACTGGATTGTTGTTCCTCCTCCCCTGCACCTGCTCTTTTTTATGTTATAACTGGTAACTAAAGTTTATAACCTCTTTGATCCAAACCTACAGTCCTTAGGCAAGCCAAACTCGTCTACAAATTAATAGGGATTTAGCCCACGTTAGAGACTCTACAGAACAGTTCCCATTCTGGAATAGACTTCCCAAGGAGGTGGTGCAGTCCCCAACCTTGGAGGTCTTCAAGTGAAAACTGGAGAGACCCCTTGCTGGAATCATTTGATCTCAGCAGCATTCCTGCCCAGAGCAGGGGGGTTGGACTCAATGATCTTTCAAAGTCCCTTCCAGCCCTTAATTTCTATGATTTCCCTAGGAATGCAAGTTGAAGTCAACATTTTAACAAGATTGTACAAAGTTCTCTATATTCTACTGAAAATAAATTTTCTGCACAATCAATACAGCATCTCACAAAAGTCTAGGAAATCCCAGGGACAAAAAGTGGACATATACACCTATCAAACCTAATTGGCTTAATTAAACTATTCAAATAACAAAGGTATTAGATTAGGTGGTTTTGAGTTAATCTAGCACAGGGGTCAGCAACGTTGTCATCCAGAGTGCCAAAAACACCCACAACCTTGAATTGTAAGATGCTAGCGTGTTGGGGTGGATGGCTGATGGAGCCACCAGGGGCCCAATCTTTGTTCTGGCAGCGGAGCCCTTGCCCATTTCCCACCATCTGCCCCAAGGCGTGTGTGCCAAGCAAAATGCCTGTGTCCCACGCTCTGGCACCTGTGCCAGGGGTTGCCTACCCCTGATCTAGCATTACAGTTCCCAAGCTTAGCATCCTAAATAGCATTTCTATATCAATATGCACGTTCCTGGCTTAATCACTTACGTCAGGCAAGATAGAGCTTATACACTCCTCCTGAAATCTTAGTATACAATTACTATTTTTCATACGCATTTTACCAATGCTGCTCTCACATAACACCATTGGAAAGGATGTAAAAAATAGATGAAGCATGAATTTGTACATGGGGATTTTCCAGACAATGCTGAACCATGTAGAAGCCTACCTGTCCCATGTTCTATGTCAGATACTAGCTTTACTTCAGGACAGAGAGGCTGTATAATTTTAATTTTTGGCATTGTAGCCAACAAGAAACCATGATTTCTGGTTTCCCCTCAACCACACATCCAAAATGTTAGTAGATTACCCTCTTGGATAAACCTGAAGAGCCTGGTAACAATACATATATATTTGACGCTCTTTCCAACAACACTACTCCAACAGCAGCAATGTTGTGAGGTCCACTTTTACTAAAACAACACAGCTAAGCATTGCCTTTAGACTTGGACCAATTCATATCTGTAACCTTATGTTCTGCTACTGGAAACATGTCCAGAGTATTTTGCCACCTTCTTGGGTTAATTTATAGTTTTACTGCAGAAAAGCCTTCTTCAGACTTCACAGAAGTTTTCTTTTAAATGACATTTAATATATCAATAGTGATAACAAAAAACTTAATTCACGGACATGTAAGGAGAGAGATCAAAGGGGGGAACAATACCTTTTCATTGGGAGGTTTAGGCCTCTGGACAATTCAAGACTATACAAACACAATCTCTTTATTTCCCTGCACTAAGTTGATTACCACTCCTTCCCTTTACTAGTGCACCTTTCATCTGATTCCTACCTGTTTAAACTAACAAACTTATTTTGCTTTCATTACACATGATGAATTAAATACAACATTTAGCACTCAGTGTAAGCTCTCCAACCTGCATCTCCTCCATCCTTAACATGATCAGAATGGAATTCATGGTATTTGTCTCTTGGGATTTACCTGAGAAGAAGATGTGGTAATAAATTCAAAGAAGTAGGACACTCATTGAAAATAAGTCTCTCACCTTTCAGCCTCCTCTTCCTCCCTCTCTTTTTCCCTTTCTCTTTCTTGCTCTAGTTCCTGCAGCTTGAGTCTTTCCAGCCTTCTCCTTTTTATAGCTGTTTCACCGAAATGTTTGGTTGTCACCTGTTGCAGAGGAAACAGAATCAAACTCAAAAATCCATGGAGTTCTATGTTTATACACAGATTAAAGAGCCTATTTAAACTTGAAAATGTCCTTCTGCTCTTCATTAGTCTGGAGGACTGGAATATGACTTCCAAAATTCAGAGTAATAGCTGCCTTCTAATCTCAGGATGTTACCTGTTACTCACAAGCATCACCTTACACTACCCTCACATTAATGTAAGTGTAGTAAGGTATGTACGCTAATGTCTTAAGCTGACAAAATGCCTTTATTCACAACCTGTCAATGTCCACTTTAGGGGATTGGAGACTAAGCATTTTCAGCAGAGACTTCCTAGTTATAGAATTCTCTTCTCCTGAAAAACAGTCTGAGCCTAAATTTACCAATTTGCCGAACTACATGGGAAACGATGGGTTATGGATGGCTAGTGGACTGCTGCAAAAAGGAGAGCTGTATGTTGTCTACTGAGAACCATTTAACCTAACATGATGCTATGTTTTGTCTGTTTTGGATGCTCGGATGTGAGCCCATTAAAAGAAAACATTAAGGCTGAAAGACCAAGAAATTTGGAGCATGTTTTATGGGAACAAAAAAACTGCGTGCTTGAGAATCATTTAGAAGCTTTCTAGTCAGCAAAATACTTGCAACTATATCGCAATAACTAAATATGACTTTTAGATGAATACTGCTAATCACTTAGAAAAGCGGAAACCTGCATGCTTTTGTTTCCCGCTGTTACACTGGGTAGACCACTGATCTGTCTTTCAGGACTTGTAATTATGCCCACTTTAAGCAATACAAGGTCCTGTGAAAAGCACGTGGTGCAAAATAACTATTTCTTTAAACAGGGGTGTTGACTTCACTTGCACTATCAGTGAAGAAACCCCAGGTCCTGAGTGCATTTTTCTTAGCTTTGGTGGCATTCCAACTCGACCCCTTTCCACTTTTATTTTACCAATAAAAAAAAATTTTTTTTGAATCCCCAAAACTAACTACCACACTTGTATGAAAACACTAAAAACTCCAAATATTCAGCCAGGTAGTACCTCCATACAAACCAACTTCTTTATACAAACAAACCAGACCAAATGGCGTTCTCTAAAAGAGTCAGCCATTTGTGACTAGTGCATTTGTGATACTCAGCCCTCATACAGGACCAGAAATGCAGCTAGAGCTTTGTTCAACAGGTTGGGAACTAGAAGAAGGAACACATGCTACAGCAGTCCACCCACCCCCACGCCAAACAGCTACACTCTCCATCTGTAAATTCCCACCTCAAATATCCATCACTTAAGCCCTTATATTGGCTAGTAGGACGCCTGATTTCCCAAACAAAAAGTTCCCACATTTAGTTTTCACAAAGCAGATCCTGAAGTAGAAAGGACCTTCAGCAGTCTCAGCAGATAAAACTGGGTTGGGCCAGGGATTTTGATACTTTGCAGCTATCATTCAATCCAGTCTTCAACTACTCAGCAACCACTTCCACAGTCTTTATGATACCGCGTTTGAACAAATACACCACTGACAGTATCAGAAGGGATAGCTTATGCTGCTTTTTTACTTCTGAAAGAGCTGTGTTCTCTTGGTATTAGTTACAAAAAAAAATCAGATCTGTATAGATCTCTGAAAGTGGAATTATTCACATTTCTTCCTACCCTTACTTCTTTATAAGGGTCAAGCATATCTACATTCTTGAGCTTTCCCAAAGCTCTCAAATGCCAATCTAAAAACAGCCTCACTTGGCTTTTCATTATTTGAGCCCTTCCAAATAGAGGCAACCAGAAATATCAGATCTTTGCTCAGCAAAGTCTTTACTCATTATCTCACTTTTTATTCAACCCCTCCTCTGGGCATGGGTTCAATCAAGTTTATATGGACTAGTCTGTGCTCAGCTGTTCCTTTATCTAACTAGATCTTGGATATCTTTTTGGATACCCTCCAAATGAGAGTTAAATTAAACTCAGATAAAGGCCTATTTAGGGGGTCCAACAACTATGAAAGAAGTTTAGTTAGGAAATCCAGTTTTCATGTTAAAAATACCTTCTAAAACAGGGGTTGTCAACCAGGGCTATGCATACCCCTGCGGGTACTTGGGAAGACCCCAGGGGGTATGCAGCAGCAGCACAGAGAATCAGAGGGCAGGACTGCCAGCGCTTTGTGCCGCTTGCACTGCTTTTGTTTTCGCCAGCACTGTGCACTGCTGGCGCTTCTGCCGCCGTATACCGCCAGCACTTTTCTAGTTTTCCATTGTCAATCAGCTGCCAGG